AAAGTGTCAATTCAAGGCTTTTGATTAATTCAAGGATTTGCTATTTATTGTCTCAGTTTTTCCTTTCAAATATATATTAAAATTCATTTGACTTTAAAATATTTACAGTTAGTGTTAAGACATCCTCTGATCGAGACGTTTGTCTAAAAAGTTATTAATATTATTAATACTACTTTTTAGTGAAGACTGAAAATGGCTTTTCAGATAAAGAACTTATTCTCGCGTTTATATAAAACAGCGTTTGATATCATATTATATACACTAATATTGTCCACAATATTGGCATTACTTCCGAGCAATTTGTTTGTCAACTTTCCGTTGGAACCGAAGAGTCATGTGTTGAACATTCCCGACAAAGTGGACAATTGGAACAATTTGTTGGTCGAAAAAAGTGAATTCTTGCTCAACGGTGTGATCGTCGGACCAGAATCTCTGGCCAATAAAGACAACTTCATATATACCGGTCTCGCAGACGGAAGACTCGTTGAGATTAATAAGAAGACCCTTAAGACCAGAGATATCGCACGTTTTGGGACTAAACTTTTATGCGGTAATTATTTTTAAAAAATATCCACAATTTTATATATATTTTTAATTTAAACGAAAAATTACAGGAAAGGAAGACATGGCTGACTGCGGAAGAGTTCTTGGGGTTCGGTTTCATAGAGACAACTACTTGTATGCAGTCGATTACGTGAACGGATTGTTTCGGGTGAATGTGACCACTGGTGCCAAAGAGTTGATTGACTTCAAGAATCCTGAAATTAACGGCTTTTATGACGATTTGGCTTTTGATCCTAAACTGAATATCGTTTACGTATCGATTATGACCACCAAATGGCAATTAAATCAAGTTATATATGGATTATTAGATTCTGATGAAACGGGTTATGTGTTTGCCTACAATTTGGACACTAAGAGAAGCACTATATTAAGGACTGGACTTAAATTTGTAAATGGACTTCAAATAAGTGCTGACAATAAATACCTTTTAGCCGCCGAAACGTTAGGCTTTAAAATTTCAAAGATTT